TAAAGCCGAGATTAAAAGTTATGTGGTGATGCAAATCAAAACCACAGTGAGCTACCACTTCACACCTACCAGAAGGGCCATTTTACATATATGTGTGTATATATATGTATATTTATAAGTGTGTATATATCTATATACACGTATATACACACACACGGCCATGTATGGCTTAATGACAGGATATATTCTCAGAAATACATCATCAGGCGATTTGGTCATTGTGCAAACATCAGGGTGAACTTACACAAACGCAGATGGTACAGCCTACTACACATCTAGGCTATAATGTATGGCCTGTTGCTCCCGGGCTACAAACCTGCACAATATGTTACTCTACTCAACACTGTAGGACACTGTAACACAACGGTGTTCTGTAAACCAAAGAGATGTCTAAATCTATAAGACAACATAGTCACGGATTTTTTTGCAGCCACAGCTGCAATTTTAACCCCAGTGCGTGACAACTGTGGAGAGCTCCCAGAACGAGGCCAGCACAACTCCACCTTCTGGGAAAAACCAAGAGCCATGGTCCCGAAAGAAATTATGAACCTCTTACTGACCAGGTTTGCTCCTGATTGTATTAAAAGCACTAGCTTTTAGTAAGACGCCTGTGTTCACAGATCCCAGTAAATGATGCATTGCTTGGTGTGTTTTAAAGGTCAGCATTGAAGAGCCAGCCAGAATGAGGAGGCAGAATCAGAATCAGGTGATGAGCGCTACACTTCGAGGTAACAGCCTGCACTGCATGCTCTTGCAGGCCCTTCCATCTTCAAGAGTTAAATATGCTTAAAATTAGAACTATTACAAAAATCCAGGCTTAAAACTTCCATTTTGTACTGGGCAAAAAGCCTGGCAATTAAAAATAACTTGTTATCTTTGAAACTGGAAGGATGCCTACAGGCACTGCTCATAGCAACCTAAGGTTAAGTCATCTTAACATTAACCCATTTATGAAGAAACACCTACAGATCACAGAGCCTAACCATGAAACCCTGGAAGCAATTTTCACTTTGCTCTGACAATCTGCCTCCTTCCAATTCACCAGCAGAAATACAGCAAGTTTATTTTCAAACTCTAAACAGTAAAAAACAAAAAAACCAAAACCAAAACAAAACAAAAAACCCCAAAAAACTCAACAGAAATACACGTCAAGAGAGAAATTCCACTCAACAAAAGCTATAGTTCTAAATGAAGGTCAGCTTTGTGACAATAGTTTTATAATTTTGGAAATGTAGTATTATGCAGAAATGGTTTTAATAACAGTCGCAAGAATGTATAAAACCACCAGGAATGCATCATAGGGATCAAGGGTTTTCAAAGTGTGGTCCCCAAAGCAGCAGCATCACCACCAAGAAACGTGTTATTAATAGAAATGCAAATTCTTGGGCCCCAGACCTCCTGAATCAGTACCACTGCAGGTAGGACCCAGCAATTTCTGTTTTAACAAGCCTCAAGGCGATTCTGATACACAGTACACAGTTTGAGAATCATTATTTAGAGAAATGGAATGATGAAATTGCCTGCAAATAAGAGTTTTGGGTAGAAGTTATAATTTCTATAAGAAATATAACTTTGAAAATACAGAAAGGAACTATTCTAATTAATTTCCTGGCCAAACTCTTTTACTGTATTTTTAAAAAGAGAAATGAAACATCCATTGACTTTTAGTATGGCCAATATGTGCATTAAATTATCCTTAGCAGGAGAGTTTTTCTCTATTGGAAACAAATGTATTGTATGACAATATTAGTATCTAATATTATTGCAGGACACAATAAATACATGACCTCTTCGGTATCTAAAATCTTACAGAGGAAAATGGCTTCCCAGACTTGTGGCTGATGCTGTCCAGCAAGTCACCCAGGCCAGCTGTGCACCTTTTCCAACCATATCCTAGTTGTGATCTGTCACTTTCTGAACAACCTTTACAAGGATGGGGGATGCAGCAATTAATAAAATACTGACAACCTGTACAGTTTACCAGAAACCCAGTAAAGGGTTACTGTTCATTTTAAGTACAGCTTTCTAGCCACATCCATAGCATCAATGTGGACAAAATATAAAAGGATTTATGAGGGACACACACAGGGTGAGTAGGATTTCTGAGTTTTCTGGATTTAAGCAGGTATAGCTCACAGCTGAAGGTATGATCATGAAATATGGAGAATAAGCACCAACAATATATCACCTTTAGCTGCTAAGGATAAACGACAATTGTAGATGAGAGAGGAGAGCGAGGGAGGAAGAAGAAAGGGAAGAACAAGCAGTAGGCACTGAAGTTCAGGACAGGAAAGAGGGCCCAACAGTTTCGTTCATTTGTTAGTTCACTGATTCATCTAACATATCCAACAGATACTTCTGAAATACCCAGCACTTACTGATAGTGGATAGCGCAGGATGTGGCAATGTTTGTCCTCCCTGAAATAAGCACCTCTCAATATCATCAAGCAAGGGTCTAGCTCATTTACACTGCAGTCACTCAGGGTATTTTAAAAACTGATACGCATGTTGAAGATCCATTCCAAAAGAAACAGCTGTGCTTATCCAGAAGCCAGGCTTCATGTGGTAACCTCAATGAAACGTCCAGGCCCAAAGATTCCAAGAAAAAAGGAAATTAAATGAAGATGCCTGCCTCTGAGTCCTGCAGGGAGGCTGAACCCCTCAGAAACCTTTCCATCCTGGCATGCTGTGAAGGAATTATGTCAGACCATGAACCTAAGGGCTCTTGGTGGCCTGGTGGTGGCTGTGAAAGCCAGCTCTAACCTGAGAAATGGCAAAATGAGCAGGGAAACACATGGGGATTGGGGGAGGCAGCGGATGGTGGGGAAAAAAAACAAGCAAAGGACTTGTCCACTTGTCCACCAGGACAGGTCCCCGGCAGTCACAGATGACAGCTGAGAACAGCCTTGGTTATGAACAGGAAACGCAGCAAACCTGGCCCGGTTCTGCGGTCAGGAGAAAAGAAGCCACACACCTCAGGGCTCTTGTAGAATCCCCGTGGCACAAGGCATGCACACTAACCGCTGAAAATGGCCTGTGTCATGGCAAGATCCATCAGGATAAGCTGCCCTGCACAGCATCAGGCCACGTGGAGCCTCAGACCAAGACGGTGCTGCTATGTGTGCAGAGCCGATGCAAGTGCCAGTAAAGCCCTTGCCACCCTATATTCCTGGAATCATACATGTTGCTCCTTGACTTTCTAAGTTAGGAGAGAATGCAAAACATCTTGAAAGGCCCCCAATTAAAAAATTGTTAAAAGGAAATACAAACAATTAGTGCTTTAGTACTTTTGAAAAAGTTAACTCATTCTCTAACAACGCAAGGCAACTGAGACAGTGGGGTGTAGGGTTCTGAGATGAAACCCAGCCAATGCATGCATCCCTCCTTATCCAAAGGGATCTGGTCCCTGAATTCAGACAACAATGACCACCTGTGCATGTTCCACAGAAAAGCCATAGGTCCTCCCTAAGGCCAGCAACCCTGGAGAACACCTTTTTCATCTACTCTCTAAAGTCTTCCTTCATCTCCCCAAATCGACTGGGAGCAATGTCTCCACACTGCAGGACTTCCTTCTGAGAAGTCTCTTCCAACTGAAACATTTTAAGCCAAGATCATATTTTGTGCATTATACTTAGCCCTTAAGGGCTCTGGACCAAGCACTTAATATTGTAATTGGTTTTCCAGCACTTTCTCTAAGTTTCTGCTCGATTGAGTTAAAAGCGCTGCTGTCCTTAATTTGCTTAAGGCTTCAAACCCGATCTAAAGGAAATGGTGCACAGAGCTCTCGTCATGTGAGAACAATTCAATGTGATGTCTTGCCAGGAATGATAAACTCTGGTGACTTGATAAGAAAATCTCAGAGTTCAGATTTCAGATGAAGTTAGCTTTCAGGCTGGCATTCCCGTCCAAGCACATCTAAGGCTCCGCAAAAGTGATGACACCACAAAGGAGTCCAGTTTCCACCACCACGATGCTCCTTCCTCAAAGAGGAGAAGATCCCACTTGCCTCTCTCTGGAGGGCTTTGAATGCCTCTCTGATCAGTCAACAGGACTCCTGAATGTGCACTTATTTATTGTGCCACTAACCTTTTCAGAGCACGGCAGGGGCAGCAGGTAGTACATACTTACTAGTCTTCCAGTGTGCATTTAAAAATGAAATTGAAGCCTACTAGAACCAATACAATTCAAATACATCAAACTCTATCTCCTAAATGCTTGTTTTGGAAGTCTCTCGATTGCAGAAGGTGTATGTGTAAAGACGTTTGCAAAACTGGTCGAATATTTCCTTCACACACGAAAAGGCTGCCTTCTGGGATGCAGGCTCCACCCCCACGTCTGAAACTCACTGCCCCCAGCCTGCCCACCCCTGGAAGTGGGTCTGCTGCCCCAGTCCAGTGGCTTCATATCTCCCACTCACTGCACACACACAAAACTCATCTCTCTCAAGAACCCTTGTTTTCTTTTCAATTCATCTCGTAAGTGCTTTAAAAGCTTTTCAGAGATGAACTCAGTGGCGCTGCCTGCCGTGGCAATGACCTTGGGATTATACGGTTTACAAAGAGAAAGCAAGCAAACAACAAAAGGCGGTGTCAGAAACCGGCCACCAGTCTTGCAAAGATTGCTTTCTCTGGGAAACGGACCGAGTAGAAACAAAGTAAATCACGCGGGCCTTCTACGTACACACAATGGGCAACCAGGAGAGAAAATGACGTTTGAGTCTGTAAAATACAAGAGGGGGAATCTTCGGAGAGAAGCAGAACCACCTTTGTCAGCTACAAACATGTTTTCAGTTAACCTCCCACCTCCAGAAATGGACACCCACGATCCCCAAAACAGATGCAAGGAAATCACGGAGTAGCAGACATTACACTAAATTGCATTCATCTGCATCTCCCGCCTTTCTAGTGTACTCACACAATGTGAAATGGGCGCGGCACACAGAGCCACTGTGCAAGGCGCATTTACTGCCTCCAGCCAGAGCTGCGGCGCAGCGCACTTACCGAGGACTCGCTGTCCCTAATGAGGAAGTCGCCCTCCACGCCCCGCTCGTTGAGGGCGCACTCGGCCTGGTGCCGCGTCACGTTCCCGTAGTACCACTCTCTGCCCGCGAAGCGCCCGCTGGACGAGGGCCCGGTGTAGCTTATCTGTGGGGCGTGCGCAGGGTGCAGGGCAGGCCCGTCACTGAGGACCACCACGTAGTTTTTGGGGACGAGGCCCACCTGGCCCCGGGCATTTTTGCATTTCCACCACTCGGGGTCGTTCTCGGGCTTCTCGATCACCTCCATGGTCTCCCCCTTCTCGAAGTTGAGCTCCTCCTCGGTGACTGAGCTGAAGGGGTACAGCGTCTGGACCACGTGCAGCACGCGGGAGCCCTGGCCATTGCTCAGCGAGGCGCCCTTGCGCAGGCTCAGGAAGCTCGGGGACTCCGCAGCTGCCTCGTCCACCTCCTCCAGGACGTAGTTGGAGGGGAACCAGCCTATCTGCCCGTTGTAGCTGCCCCGCCACCAACCGTCGCTGCACTTCTCCATGACGGTGACACGCGACCCCTTCACCAGGGACAGCTCATCCTCCCGCTCGGCAACATAGGCGAACTTGACAAAGGCCGGGATGTTGAGGTCGTAGATGCGGTCGGCGCTGCTGCCATTGGCGGGGTACTCAGCATCCGTGCTGGGCGTGGGGGACGCGTCCCGCGCGCTGGTCTTCCTGCGCGTCTTGCCAAGGCCTGTGGAGACACAGCAAGGCTCAGTGGCGCGGGGCACTTGGGCACCACCCCACTCCCTAGTCTACTGGGATTTCCACGCAGTTTCTCTGGCGGTTAAATACAAGGGGACACATGGACAGTGCTTACAAACTGTAATTACCATCAGAAAAATAAGGTTGCTGGCAGCTGCCTCCTGTAGTTGTGAAGTTACTTAAAGTTGAGAACTACTTAAACTGATCTATTTTACCCATAAAAACGTCACAGGGCCAGCACGGTGGCTCACGCCTGGAATCCTAGGCTTTGAGAGGCCCAGGCGGGAGGATTGCTTGAGGCCAGGAGTCTGAGACCAGCCTAGGCAACATAGCAAGACCCTGTGTCTGCAAAAAATTTAAAAAAAAAAAAAAATTAGCCACCTGTGGTGCACATCTATGGGCCCAGCTACTGGAGAGGCTGAGGTGGGAGGATGGCTTGAGCCAGAGTTCCAGACTGCAGGGAGCCGTGATGGCTCCACTGCACGGAGCCTGTACAACAGAGTGAGGTCCTGTCTCTAAAATCAAACAAAACCAAAAAATGCGGAAGTACCACTGACACGAAAGATAACGAGAAGAGTAGAAGGTTTCCTTCTGAAATAACCGTTTTTAGAGCATCCCTGTGCCTCTGAAAAAAATAAAGTATAAATGCAGACAAAATACCTTTTTCATTCCTTGAATGGGTGGGAAGTCAGACTAAATGAATTCAAAGACCCGTTAGAACTCTTAAGACCGTCCAGTCTTAGGGAGCACAGCTTGCATAACCTGCCCTGCCCCCAGCTGCCTTGCCACTGCCTCCTCCACTCCTGGGACACTCACTGCCCTCACCCCTCACCCCTCACCCCTGGACAGCATGACAGCCCTAATGGGCAAAACCCATCATCTTCACCTTTCTTCTCGTCTTACAATTCTTCTCTTCTTTCAAAACAGCAGACTAATTTCCCACAACAGATTGTGATGAGTGCATTAGGAAAACTTAGCTGATAGCTTAAATCGAAGACACAATTTTTCATACTGTGATTCAAAGCCCACTAGTGGATCATAAAAACCACTTTAATGGGTTGCAACCAGCCTACAGGTATCTGTTGAATTTAAGGGAATAAAGTAGAAAATTTCAGTGCATCGAACACAATTACAGTAAGTACTGTTTCTTCAGTCACACATGTGAGTATTGAATCAGAATGGGAAACATTTCTTCCTGTGCGTGATGAAAAATGCTAGAAAAGCCCTAAGGTAAAAATGTTTTAACTGTGTTAAAGTGCATGGAATTCTGGAACATTCTACGAGAGGAAAGCATGTCAGCCCCAGAGTTGGGGACACACCCCACACAGGCAGGCGTGGCCTTCCTTAGCTGTCCTAAGAGATGAGTGCTCCCACCACAGCTCTGCTTTGACCTCTGTCTTAACCAATGTGAAGGATTAGTCATTTGCAGACTCCTCAAAGCACTTCCATGGGTAGCTTCTTGTACCTCTTTCTCCTTTTCTTCCTTAAACTAGAATAAAGGGGGATCAGTCCTAATAATTACTTGTGCTTCTATCGCCTTGCTGAGTGGGCAGGAGGTCAAGAGGGGAAAAAGGCTGATTGTCCTCAATGGTGGAGAGCTGGGCTGCCGCCCCCCTGGGGCAGATCGGCCCTGCCCAGCAGCCACTGCCCTAGGACGTGCACCCACGCAGCACCGGGAGGCATGTGAGGCCACATACGTTTCAGAGCACATACACTGATTCATTTATGCTAATGTCCTCTGACGTTTCTCTTTGTACCACTTTTTATTCACGTGAATGGGAGACACAAGAGTAAGCCAGAATATTAGAACAGGTGAAACACTTAGATTTCTACTTTGGGTTAACTCACATTATATAAAAGCATAAACCTCCAAATCTGAGAACTCATCCTTTCATGGGCTTTCAAACTCAGGATGGTTCAACTACACAATGAGAGCACCATGATAACACTACAGCTCCACAATCCGGAAGGCAGGCCATCCATGAAAGCGAACTTTTTCTGTCCAGAAGGCAGTGGTGCCCGAAGCTCAACCAGGAAGGCCTTACGGCCTTATCAAACAGCTAGCAAGCTGGGACCACGGGGGCCAGGCTGAGGCCGACTTTTACTGGCAACAATGATGTCAAGAAATAACAATGAACAATAAACTTTTAATGGACCTTTGCAAACATGTAACTTCCAAAAGCTATTTGAGAAAAAAACGCCCGTGGAAGAGCGGGTTTCGGAATATTCATCAGGCCATGAAGATAAAGGTGACAAGATCAGCAGAAAAGACATTAGAGAGTGGCCACCACAATATGTTATACAGACACTTTATAACTGATACATGAATATTCTACTTTAGTGACTTCTTTCAAAAACAAAATATGGTAATTTAAATTAATACAGCCACTGAGTTCCTGAAACATACCAGGCACCAACCTAGACTGTGGTGGGGGGTGAAATGAGCAGACAAGCATGCTTTCTGCCTGCACAGAGCTTATACCTGGAACACGGTACATAGCAAGCATGCAGCAGCAATTTTAACCTGTTTTGCGCGAATGTGATCTAAGTAGTCTTTGGGGCAACTCAGAGGGTCAGTGCAGACTGACAGAGAGCTGCATGCTCTTGGTCAAATTACTTAATAAATGTCTGTGTACTGATTTTCTTACCCCCCAGATGTGAACATGTTAGTCTGCTCAGGCTACCATAATAAGTACCACAGACTGGGTGGCTTAAACAACAGACATTTATTTCCTCACGGTTCTGGAGGCTGGAAGTCCAAATCAAGGTGCTGGCAGGGTTGGTTCCTTGCAAGGCCTCTCTCCTGGACTTGCAGATGCTGTCTTCTTCCTGTGTGTCTTCACATGGTCTTCCCTCTGAGTGTGTCTGTGTTCCAATCTCCTTTTTTATAAGAACACCAGTCAGACTGGATGAGGGCCCACCCCAGTGACTTCATTTTAACTTAACCACTTCCGTAAAGGCTCTATTTCCAAACACAATCACCTTCTGAGGTCCTGGGGATTGGGACTTCGTATGAATTTCAGGAAGATGCCATCAGGCCCATGAGAGGCACCAGCATTCAGCTGATGCTATAAAGCACAGGAAGTGCTCTGTGGATAACAACGATTACTCTTATTAACTAAGCTGTGGCTTTCTTGTTGCTCTAAATGGTATTTTACCAAAAGAAGGCCAAAGCCCTCTTTAAAAACACTTGGTCATCATCCTATCAGTGTCAGATGGCCACCAAAACAGAAAGCCTGCCTGCCAGACTTTGCCACCTGGGAAGCAAACGCTCTTGCATGGGAGCAATGCTGTATGTAGCTGCTGGTGCAGTGAAATTCAAGAGGCAGGTGTCTGGGGATGGAGAGGGACCTGACTTTACTGACACCTATGTTATCTAAACCCTCACAACAGTCCTGTGACAAAGTGGGCAACTTCTTCATTCATGGAAATGAGGAAACTGAGGCTACAAGAGGTCAGGAAATTGGCCCAACACACCCAGCCAATGATGTGGCACAGACTGCACACCCAGTAAATCCCCATTTAATCCATAATAGTCAAGAAGCATAGTTCTGATAGTGACTGGCGTCCAGCATGGTTTCTATGGAAAGCATTATCATCTGTAATATGATTTCTATGGGAAATGAAACTAGGACTCTGAATTGGGGTGCCAACAATCTATTCCACTCCCTCCCTGCCCGCTTGCACGCCCAGGCGAAGAGAAACCTTTTCTCTTTCTCTACAGAATGAACAGGCCCCTGTGTCTCCGGATGGGAGAGGGGCTGAGGTTCAGATAATGAAGATTTTGGATAAGAAATATAATACCAGGGACAGGCCAGGGCCCCGGAACAGCAGTTAACAGGTCTTGGCAGGCTGGAGGGGTACTGTGTGGGAAAGACGTCAATGGGACCAAGTTGCTGGGTTGCTGAGAAAGCAGGTCCCTTTCCTTCCCTGCACCCTGATCCTGCCCAATGGCCAGAGCCAGGGTCATCTAGAACAGAAGGGATGGGAGACCCTGAATGCTGGCATATGAAGATTTAATGTGCTCAGTCCTCCTGACTGCTAAGGATACCAGAGCAAGAAAGCGGTGGCCAGGGGGAGGGTGCCTGGGCAAGGTGTCTCAGTGGTAGGAGGGGGAGTGGGAAGAGAAAAATGCACCAAGAGTGCAGGTGGCCTTTCTGTGTGAGGATAATTAAGTCAACTGCAACCCTAGAGTCAGGAGAGCCTTTACATGGGGGCAGGCTCGGGGGACTCAGTGATCCCTCGTCCTTCTCCTCTTGCTTGGACTTCACCTGGAGCTGTGACCCAGCCAGGTGACAGCCAGGACATCTCAAAGGGAAGATTTCTGCTGCAGAACAAACAGGGATTCATGTGCGCCTGGGAGACGGTAGCACTGCAGCTGTGCGTCCTGACTGAGGGCAAGTCCCTGAGTGGTTCAGGCTCTAAGTGACCGCCTCTCTCTAATTTGAAGGCAAACTCATTACCTTGTAGGTAAAGAGGCGGCACCGGGATCCCAGTTTTCTTTCATTCTCTGTGTGTAGTTTTTCTACACATCTCTGCTTCATCGCCTCATCCTTCATTAAAGTAAAACCACCTACTGCTTTCAGTTGTAACAGAGGCACAATTTGCACTCCAATGTGTGTTTATTTTAACAGGGTAACACGATTTTTTTCTCACAGAATTTTACATATTTTCTCCACAAGACAGGCAAATCCTCATACCCACTTCTCAGACTCGGCCTGTCTTTAGCTACCATAATGAAACCATAGCCAACCAGAATATGGCAGACTGGGAGCCCTCATCGTCCAGGGCCCCTGCTCACTCTTCTATTTTGGAAGAGCGCATTCGCCGGCATGTCCCTGGAGACTGCTCACCTTGGGGTCAATAGTGAACTCCAAAGCAGGCCAGGTGGATCCTTCAGGCAGATGTGAGGTAGGCGGGTCCTCACCCATGTAGAACACCCAGTTTCAATGCCTCCCATCCTGCCCTGACCGAGGGATGGTGTGCGGT